AGCCCCGTCTTGTTGAAATCAATAAAGCCCAGTGAACTGGATGAGGGAGATTGCTGAGCCCTTAACTTTCTGCAAAATAATATTTGCTGCAGTACCACCTTAGACATTCTTTCATTCAAAACACAGCCAATAAGAAGTCCCCGATGATCATCCGGAGGCACAGTGTTGTGTTTTTATAAAGTAGTCATGTCTTTCTTTCTTTCTTTCTTTCTTTGTTTTTACTGCAGCCACAACCTGAGGAGCACATCATTTCTGCACCCTGTGACTCGACAAATTTCACCTGATAACATAGAATATACCTTACAAGACAGGTGAGCTTCTCTTTATTCTTAATGCTTTAATGTACAAAAAATAAAAAAATAAAAAAAGAACAAACACAAATGCATTTTTCTCTCCTTTTTCTCTCAATTAACTCATCATGAAGACTATTAGAGCCATGTAAGCACTTACAAGCTAACTGTCAGTAACTGTCTCACACTAAGGAAAGGGAAAGGATTTGGCACTTTAAATTCATTAGTCAAGCTGTATTCATTCTCCACTGTAATGATATTTATTACTGCAATATTGTGACCACAGATTTGGATTTTGTCAGCTCATTAGCTTTGTTCTTCACATTATTACCTCATTAGTTGGTATCATGATGGCATTGCAGTGAAACAGAAACCGACAAGTTCATGTGGTCCTCCTTGTATCAAAGTAATGACTACAACTGATCAGTAGGCCTAGTTATGGAGCAGCTCTTGGTAAACGGTGGATGGACTAACCTTGCATGGTGCTTTTCTTGTTATCCAACCGCTCTTAGAAATGTTCACCAAAGTCCATATTGTAACGGCAGCCTGTTTTTAAACACCCTTCCAAGCCTTATTTGACTTGTCTCCATGGTGAACCAACACAGCTGTTTCTGACGATTTATATTCTGCACATTTAATTGACTGACTGTGTAAATTTTGAAGAAATGGTAAAGAAACCCTTAAAAATGTAAATAAGAAAACAAACAGTCGTTTTCTGTCCTCACCACATGTACTGTTTCAGAATGACAGGTGGGCGTATTGTCGTTTTATGTTGGCGCATAAAACTCCAAGCCATCAAACATGCATGGCAGGCTTAGGTAATATCAGACAGCAGGTGTGTGATTGTATTTAGGCTGGTTGGTCTTATTATATAGTGCACTGCAAACATTTCACTTCTGCCAGAGACAACTATGAGCCCTCTGAATTCTCATTCAAAACTGATTGATGGGATTCATCTGCAATATTTCTTGTGATTCGATGTTCTCTGTATTTTTTTATATGTCTCAGCAAACACACAAGCTCCTTGAGTACATAAAATACCCCACTGTGGGTGAGATCAGATCTGAGTGCTGTGGCCATATACCAATATTACACTTGTTATAAACCTTGGATCACAGCAAGTTACATAGCTTATTAAAATAATCAGATTAGAGCAGCAATTTCAGTGAGATTATTTTAAATGACATAAAAAACAAAAATTTTGTCGTTCCTGAGATGTATATTATGTTATGTGAGGGTCGTGCTCTGAAAGAAATGAGACATTACTGTACACCTTTCAGGATTAACTTTTTTCACATCAAAGCAATAAATAATTAGCCAAATTCATGTAATGTGTTTATTCTGGCTGTCTACATTGTGTATAAACATTAAAAATATCATATTGTGGGTAATAAATAAATAAAAGAATGTATAAAATTACTTTTTTATTCATCAGAACCAATTTGAAAACTGAACGGCAAAAAACAGGCTCAGATCGGTACTCTGGCTGCCCTGCAAAACGGGGAAAAAACAATTTTAAGATTTGGATTTCTTAAACTTGAACTTTCTTTGTCAGAGCATGCAAATCAGAGCATGCATGTCTTGCAAAAAAGAAAACATGCTATGCTGTTAAGAGGTGCTTCTTAAGTTATATATATGCATGTTACATGGCAGGACTGTTAGAAGCTGGTGAACTTCATTATTCTGGAATCCTAGACTGATAAATGCTTTGGGCTTTTTCCTGTTGGATCATTTATTTATTAATGCTTCATGTTCTTTAATGCACTGAATGAAAATTGCCAAACTTTTTTTAAAGGTCACCCCTGTTTTATTGAACATATTCATCCAAATAAAACCCTTAAACGTACGATGTTGTTTTTTTTTTTTATGTAGAACTGAGGTAATTTGTGTTAGTTCTCATAAAGAGAAGATGCCCCAAACAAAATGGAAATAAAATGAATGTATTCCTTATTCCTTTGTTCTTTAATATATCTTATTTAATATGGGATTGAAAAATGAAAAAGAATCAGAATCAGAATCAGAATCGGGTTTATTATAAAGGACCTGTTCTCAATTTCTCTATTCTATGTAAAGATATAAAAAAACAACAACAATTGTTTCTGGTATTTTCCTTGTTGGATTAAGTATATTGATACACTAAATCAAAATAGTTCAGAAAAAATATTTTATGTTTCTACTTGATTTACAGATGATGTTGGATTTTATTTTATACAATGACTAGATTTTCTCTTACGCTGACAATGTGCAAGCATTGCACATGTGCACAATAAAATAATTTACTTAAACCCTCAGTTCCACTGGAAGTGGAAGCTATGCGTAGGCTCCACGATGTTGCTCTTCCTGGCTGTTGGGACTGATCTCAGTGATTTCAGAGTGGTCCCACTGAAAGCATGTTTGTGAAGCGTCCCAGAAGCCCCGCCTGCTATGCACTTCCATAAAATATGCAGCTGTTTTATTTTTCCTGCCTGCAGCTTCAAATCCACATCCATCTATGTAGAGCACAGCTGATGAACAGCAAAGTGGATACGGTGGAGTTTACAAGTAGAAGGCTACATGTGCATAGTTTGGATGGCATTTCCAGGACCTTTATGTAATACAAAGATTTGCTTATACAGTTAATCGAAAGTCCTAATAAATATAACCATTTAAGTGAAAAATGTCTGAAAACAACTAAATATTTCAACTAATTTGCCCATTATGGAAGAAATAAAACATGGTTTCCTAAAGAGTATGCATGGGAGATGCTGATAGAACTGGTTAAATAAACACTTTGCTGGATTATTGTTTTTTTAAAAGCCTACATGTTCACTCATATAGCATGATGATATAATCCGAACATGAAATGAGTCCTTCTTAGAGATGCTCTGATCTGAAAATACATTTGGTAGAATTAGAAGCCGCTGTGCAGCTGCTCCAAGGTACGTGCTGCCTCCACCTCCAGTGGAAGTGGGGGCTTATACTCAGATAAGTCCTCCTAAACTGTAATCTTTGTGGGGTTAGAATTAGGGTGCCTCACTAACATCATCTCATACCGATATAATATGTTGTCACACACTACCATATTTGGAAAGCAATATAAATGTAAAAGCAGTTTGTAACAGCCAAACCGATGCAAAAAATGCTTTTGTTCGGAAAGCAGCAGTTTCCAGAGCATTTAAACAGTCCAAACCAATGTACAGGAACAATAAGAATTTACTCATTTAACAACAAGAGTGGAATGAAAGACTCACTGCAGTAAACACCCCTATAAATGTTAATTACCGTTGAAATTGCCCTAAAAGAAACAGAGTTCTGCCTCAATTTCAAATTAGTTTAAAGAGGCATTTTAATCCAGCTTGCCTTTTAAAAGCATTCCGGAACATTAAATACATGAAAGATCAGAGGTACCATTCAGCACATATATAGATAGAAGACTGAGCATAAAGAGCAGTCTGTGGCTTCCTAAATATGAAACAATTTAAATCCGACACACCTACAGTATCTAACAAAGTTGATTTGATTGATATTTTACTGGCCTGAAGCTTCAAGTTTTTTATAGATTATTAAACTGTGATCGGTTAATTATCTCTTTTCATATAAAGTATCTCTCAAAAGGATTTTAAAATGTCAAACATGCCATCCTGTCACTTCAATCATAGCAAGACAAGCCTGGGAAAAATGAGAGCAGCAACTCTCTCCCTTCTGCACAGCACTTCATGAGATATTGCTTTGGTCCTCCACAAGCCACAACAAATCTCCTGGGAAGCTATTCCAATGACCATAGTGGTAAACAGAATGAAAGCTGCACATAAAAAGGCAGCGTCCTCATGATACGAGAGGCACATCGTGTAAAAATGTTGGCAGCAATCCAAGCTGCTGTCGCCGTATTCTGGTGTAGGATTCTCTTCTCTCTTTGACTCTTTATTCTGCTTTTTCTTTTATATGTCTGTACCTCATCTCTTAGATTAAGTATAGGGGGATTAAGTGCATTAAGTGCCTATTGCATATGATTTTGCTTGTGTTTTTGGCTCATTGGTCAATATATTAGTTTAACCGTACAGCTTGACACAATAAAGATACTTCATTAATCAGATTTGTAAGAAGAAACATTTTCTTTGAAAAAGTTGAATACTTATCAGTGTAAATTGTACTAAATGTAAGTGGCCAAAACTGAACTCTCTATTAAAAAAAATTATTATTTCTTTACAGAAATATGTCAGCTTAAAACAGATAAAGCTTTAAATTCTATTTATTTTAAAAATCTTTGTTTATGTTCGGTGTACTTCATGGTAGCTGTGATTTAAAAGAACTAAAAAAAATTGACTTTAATTACGGTACTGTGATTACAAAGCTTTATATTAGTAAAGTCAGAATAAAAATAATTGGTTACCTGTGTTACATACAGGCCTGTAATATAAACTGCTTCACTCTTATGTTTACGGTTTTGCAGAAAAGGGAGCAGTAATACTGTATGTGCTAAAGGGAGATACAGCACTCTTCACATGTATCACCCACCATGTTGAAAACTAATTAAAGCATTAAGCTAATTGTCAAGTGGTTCACACTTTGTTTTTGGTATTTTAACTGCAGGTTTCCCCCACTTGAAAAGGCAGTTTGCTTCCAGAGATCTCACAGGATTTCACTCATCACACCAAAGTTGATTCTTTCCTTTTTTGTCTTTTATTTGAAAGTTCAATCAACAATAGTAGTAGCAGTATTAGTAGTAGTAGTAGTAGTAGTAGTAGTAGGTGAAAAACCTTTAAATATAAACAGAAAACACAATGATTAACATTCTTTAAACAAAATTGTTCCTGAAACAAAATATAAGATTTAAACCCAAAATCAAACATATTCAAAGAATTATTCAGTGATACATTTTAACATTCTAGTGTTCATTTACTTTCTCAAATACATTTTAAATGATTCCTCTTTTTTTTTTTCTTCTTTTTCTTTTTTATTTATTTATATATATTTTTTTCTCAATGTTTCAACATTTCAGTCTAAATATTCAAATAATTTGTGGCTCACCGGCTCCTTCTCCTTGGAACAAACTTTCCTGCAGTGCATTCACCCAGGCACCCTCATAGTGCTCATTGTTGCTTAGTGAGTGAACATCTCCCAACTGATCCTTTAATTATCTTCACCTGTCTCCAGGTTGGGAGACACTCTCCCTATACTCAGTCAGAGGAGGGCGGGGCCTGAATTCAGCTTAACACCTCCCACTCGATCTTCCCACAGAAACTGCTGGAAAGATCGCATGTATCAGTCAATATACAGTCAATTTACAGTCCGACTTCCTTCTGGGTTTCCTGCTTGCTCCTCTGCTGGCAGGAGAACAACTAGTCGTCTGACATCTCTGTGAAGGATTGTAAACTGTGTGTCCCTCAGAATGCTGGATGGAGGAAGCTTGGATGCAGGATTCTTGGATGCGGGCCTCACCTCTGGAGTGCACAAACTTGTTACAACTTTAACATTTACATCCCGCACAATGCCTCTGGTATCTGCATTAACGCTGATGACTCTTCCAAGCTTAAAGTGACCCCTCAATGCATTCTGGTCACACAGCCAAACAATGTCTCCGACTGCAACATTTCTTTTCATAGTGTGCCATTTACTCCTGATAAAAAGATTAGGTCCAGCAAGCTGGCTCCAGGACCTCCAGAAAGTGTTAACCTGGTGCTGCATTTCTTGAAGTCTCTTGTAGGGATAACTTGTGAAATCAAAGGTTTTCCAGTCACCACTTGATGATGCTCGTCCCAGCAGAAGTGAATTAGGTGTGACATACTGCACAGTGTCCTCTCGGCTCTGTACCCTGGCATCAATGGGACGTTCATTTGCAAGGTTGGCAGCAAGCTGAAGTGTTGTTTGGAACTCACTGAAGCTTAGTCCCGACTCTCTTCCCAGGCTCTGGAATGCTCTTTTCACAATCCGGACACCTGCTTCAGCAGAGCCATTGCGATGAGGGGAATCCGCTGGCTGGATTTTCCACTGCCATTCAGTTCCATTCTGAGCTGAAGTTTCTTCTACAGCGGACCTGTTCAACCCATCCAGAAATTGATACAACTCCTCCAGAACCGGTTTGGCACCAATAAAATTGGTCCCTGGATCAGACCAGATCTTTTTAGGGTGACCCCGAATAGCTGTAAATCTTTGGTAAGCCATTACAAAACTTTCAGTTGACATAGAGTTAGCAAGCTCTGTGTGAATTGCTCTGCTGGCCATGCAGCAGAATGCCAACCCCCAAACCTTCATCTTGACTCTCCTCTTCACATCATCTTTAACCTGATATGGTCCAAACAGGTCAACTGTTGTAAACTCAAATGGGGCTGCGGGCCGAGTTCTTTCTTGAGGTAAATCACTCATTATTTGCTGACATAATTTGGCTCTGGTTTTCTTGCAGATCACACAATTGTTAATTACTTTTTGAGTAATTCTTCTTCCTTTGATGATCCATGCTTTCTTTCTCACCTTCAGAAGAGTTGCAGCCACTCCCTCATGACCTCTGTTGTGAGCTTCGTAAACCAACAGCATTGAGACCCAGGCATTGTATGGTAACAGGGGAACACCAACCTTGTCTTCATTGAAAGCCTGGATCCTCCCACCACAAAGCAGAAGCCCAGATTCTTCCTCTTTGTAAACCACCAAACGGTCTATGGTAGTGGCTGGAAAGGTGACACCGTCCTGTGCAGCAAGAAAAAGATCTCTTAAAGCATCCTGGCGCTCCATTACAGTAATGACCCCAGTTAATGGCACTGCCTCCCACTTTGAGGTTCTCACGATCCTCTTTTGACCTACAAAGCGTTTTGCAGCCCGCCAGACCTGGGCAATCACTCGGAGGAGCAAACCCAAATTGCTAAAGCGTCGTACATCCACCAAGTTCCTGACTGCAGTATTGGTGGGCGGTCTCCGAGGTTCTGGATCTGGTGGTTCTTTCTTTGCCTGTGCTCTTGTAAGTACAGCAGCAAACGATTTTTTCTGCATCTTCCAATGGTTTCTCTTTCAGTTAATGAAACATCCTTTGGAGACTTTATTGGCCACTTACCAGTTGGTAGACTGAGAAAGTTTGGGCCTTGCTGCCATGCAGAGTCTTCCTCCAAATCCTTTGAACCAGACCCACGAGTGATGATATCAGCAATGTTCAGGGGACCAGGGATCCACAGCCAATCCTGAAGTTGTGTACTATCTTGGATTTCTCCAATCCTATTGGCAAAAAAGGACTGGAAACCATAACTTTCACGTTGAATTGCACAGAGAACAGTTTGGCTGTCAACAAAGTGGTACCATTGTTTTACTTTAATTTTGCAATACTGCACAAAGTACCTCTTCAGTCGGGCAGCAAATACTGCTCCACACAGCTCAGCCTTGACAGCTTCCCCCTTGTGGTCTAAGGGTGTTAGTTTAGCCTTAGATTCTACCAGCCGTACCACAGGACCTTGATCACATGCCCAGCGCAGGTAGAGGACAGCACCATAAGCCTGCTCACTGCCATCAGAGAAGGTAATTGCATCAGGCTCAGCAGATGCAAACACTGGTGTCAAAGCTCTTGGAAACTTAACCTGGTTCAGCTTGGTATATTCTTCAAAGAGATGAATGGCATCTGCTCTAAGCTTTTCTGAGAGTGCAAGGTCCCAAGTGTCTTTGATAGTTCTAAGCTTAGCTTCCTGAAATGCTCTGCGGACTAGAATGGCCCCTTTCTGCTTAACAGGTGTTGTCAGACCAATTGGGTCATATAATGCAGAAACTTGGCTGAGTAATTGTCGACGTGTTAGTGGGTTTGGTGTCTGGGCTCTCACCTCTTCCAGTTGAAGATTTCTCCCTTGTCTCATTTTCCTTTTTCTCTTTGAGAAGTTTATTCCAACCATGACATGGAGCTTGTCATCTTCCACTGTATAGCCAAGACCAAGAGCTTTGTTGTCATCCTCTTTAAGCTGATTTGGCAGAATCATCTTTGTAGCAGCCTCCCGTTCTTGTTTCTCAGTAGGCTGGTTTCCACTTTGACCAGAGAAGACCCATGGTTTTAACTCGAAACCGCCTGCATTCAGGATCTGCTCCACATTTCCAGTGATAATTTTGAGCTGGTTCAAGTTGTTATGAGAGGTCAAAAGATCATCAACATAGCTATGCTCTTCAATTACTCTCCGCTCCTCCACAAAATGGCTGAACTGGGGGAGTTTAGCTGTCTCTTTAAAGCAAGTTGAGCAATACATCCTGCTGGCTTATCACCAATGTTGACTCTAGTGATTGCAAACTCACCCAGCTCCTCCTCCTCAGAGTCACGCCACAGGAACCTATGTAGGTGTTCCTCTCGGTCTTCAAGCCATACTGAATTATACATCTTGCGTATGTCTCCCAGGGCAGCAAATCTTCCACTTCGGAATCTGAGAAGTACAGCTCTGATTGAATTTAACACATCTGGGCCCTTCAGCAGAAGATCATTCAAACTCACCCCTCTACACTTTTGACTGCTGTTCCAGACCAACCTGACTGGAGTTGTGACAGAGTGTGGGTTTGGTGCAATGAGGTGACTGATGTACCATACTGGGCCAGTCCATGTATCCAAGATGTCTTTAGACAACTTCATTGCAGCTCGCCGCTTAACTATCTCATGAATTTGAGCTGCATATGCGGCCTTCCACTCTGGGTCCTTAGCCAGTTGCCTCTCAGTCCTCATGAATGTAGCTTCAACTGCACTCCTGTTGCAATGTAATGTGGCTGGATCTTCTACCCAGGGATAGCTGGCATGCCAATGAGGCTTCCCACTATGTTCATCTGAAACGACATATGTTAGTCCACTTTTTACCACTTCCAGCTCCCTTTCTTCAGAGAGAGTCATCTCTTTGCCACCTGGCTGGCAGTTTCCACAGCGGCAACCTCCACATTTTGGGATGCAACCAGCACCGATGCTGTCCCATTTCCACCACTCTAGAAACCTGGAAGTAGAAGCTACACAATTTGATTTGTGAGGTTTAATGGCAGTCAAAGGCTGTTGGCTCTGTGTACTTGGCACTACACAAACATGTTCTTCATACCTCACAGCAGCAGTTCTCATAGATCTTGCGAAGTGTGTTCGTGATGTGTGGGCTGTCATTGTGACCTCTTCAAAGAGCTCAGGATGGGTGCCAGCAACTGTTTTTCCCATTGGTCCATCCCACAGCACAAGATCTCCAATGGTGCATATTTTCTGTGGAGCTAGCTGGCCCTCTTTGTGGCTTACAAGGAGATGGATCTCTTTTGGTCTTACTAGTTCACTGAGTGGAATGCCTGGAAAGAACTTTTGCAGCTTCTTTGGAGACACATGTTTTTGTATGTCAGCAATACTGTCTAGGCCATAACAAACAAGCTGGTGAGACTTGAAAGTGCCTCTTGAGCTGCGGACACGGATTTTCAGGAGGTATAGCTTTGTTTTGACAAAGACTTTCATGCCTCCTACACCATGAACCACAAGCGTGATGTCTTCACTCCTGAGATTTAGTCGGCCTGCTGCCTCATGAGTGATATAATTTGTGTCAGAAGCTAGATCAATCAGGGTCCCGATTTTTTGTCCATCATTAGCTGTGACTTCCTGAATCATCATTAAGACAGGCCACTCTGTTAGCCCATTCTCTGTTAGAAGACTTGAGTGACTTTTTGCAACATGGGAAACCCTTGACGTTGTGTTACAAAATACATTCTGACATTGTTGGGCTAGTTCTGGTGGGAGTTTTTTCACAAATTCTTCTTGGGCTTCAGTGTAATTTCTTGTATTTCTACCTCCCACTGTTCCACTTCTGCTTCTCCTTTGAGTTGTGCTGCCTCTAGATGTTTCAGCATTTGGACACAGATGATAGTGATGGTCCGTGTCCCTCCTTTTCTCACACTCAGAATTTTTGCACAAGAAAAAAGTTTTGCAGTAATCACCAGGATTGTGGACGTCCAGACATCTCCAACATGCTCCCATTTTCCGTACTGCATCCTTCTTCTCTGCAAGATTAAGTGCACAGAATTTCTTACAGAAATAGAGCTTTTTCCTGTGCCTGAAATCCCCACAGACTACACACCCTGAGGGAGTGCTACTTGCTTGGTTTGCGATTCTAGTCCTTGCTTGCCTCTGCTCTGGTCGAGATTCCTTCCTCACTGGATCCTCATTCTTTAGTTGGTCAAGCTGTTCATAGATGCTTTCCTGACTCTTGAGGAAGTCCAGAAGATCTTCAAAGCGCTTCTCTGATTTAGTACTTCTCTCTGCAGCATAGAGAAGCCATTCTTTCTTCAACCCATCAGGGAGTTTGCTCTCAATTGACTTTGTCACAAGAGGATTTTTTAAAGCGCCACTGTCACCAAGGTCATTGAGGTCATCAAGGGCTTTTTCAATAGTTTGGATCAGTTCAACAATTTTCTTAGGCTGGTGACTTTTGACAGGAGGAAGTCTCTGAAGCTCTTCAATTATTTCAATAGCAATAGCTGATTGGCATCCAAACCTGTTTTCTAGTACACGAAAAATGTCATCTGCTGTTTTGTAGGTTACCAGTCGAAGGTCTCTTATTATTTTTTCATCTAAACTGTCAATGAGCTGAAACTTTTTCACTTCTTTTGACCCCGTGGGTTCTCCTTGACTCTGGAGAGCCTCCCAATCTCTTCTCCAGCGATGAAAATCGCGCCTGACGCCAGTAAATTTGGGGAGTGAGGTTGGCTTCAATTTGATAACTGATGTTGGGTAGCTGATGGAAGACGTACTTAAAGTTTTTCCAGCACTTTCTTTAGCCTTGGCTTCTATAAACTCTGCCTTTCTGGACATTAACTTCGGAACCATCTGTTCAAGCTCTCTTACACGCAGGTGAAATTCTTTTTGCTCAGCAGGGGCCCAGCACTTCCACTGTGTGTACAACTCTTTTGTCTTCTTCACCAATCTTTCCATGCAGTCAAACATGAAGTCAAAAGCCTCTTTATTTCCTCCAGAGTCAAAAGACATTACACTCTCTACTTTTTCCTCTGCAGCTTTAACTGCCATTGTCAGTTCCTCTTCTCCAAAGTTTTCCCAAAGCATCTTCTGGATCAGATTTTTAAGCTCCTTCAGTTTCATTTCACATTCACTTGCAGTTTTATCAATGTCAGCCCTTTGCTGCTCATTTAACTTTGAATCTTCTTCAGAGTCTTCTTGCAAGTCTCTATCTACAAGATACTGAGCTTCCACATCTTCATTTGCTTCCATAACTTTATTAGACTCAATTATTAGTTCCTTGAAACTGTCTTTGAGCTCCTCTTCTGACATTATGGCATGCATTCGAACAATGTTGTTGGCCAGCCGGGAAAATAGCAGTTTAGCAGATGTCCTGTTTCTCTTCAGCTGGTCTAAAGACTCTGAGTCAGCCATTTTGAGTTTCAATAGGGTTCCTGACTCTGCCAATCTTCTGGCCGGTTTTTCACTGTCAAGTGGTTCACACTTTGTTTTTGGTATTTTAACTGCAGGTTTCCCCCACTTGAAAAGGCAGTTTGCTTCCAGAGATCTCACAGGATTTCACTCATCACACCAAAGTTGATTCTTTCCTTTTTTGTCTTTTATTTGAAAGTTCAATCAACAATAGTAGTAGCAGTATTAGTAGTAGTAGTAGTAGTAGGTGAAAAACCTTTAAATATAAACAGAAAACACAATGATTAACATTCTTTAAACAAAATTGTTCCTGAAACAAAATATAAGATTTAAACCCAAAATCAAACATATTCAAAGAATTATTCAGTGATACATTTTAACATTCTAGTGTTCATTTACTTTCTCAAATACATTTTAAATGATTCCTCTTTTTTTTTTCTTCTTTTTCTTTTTTATTTATTTATATATATTTTTTTCTCAATGTTTCAACATTTCAGTCTAAATATTCAAATAATTTGTGGCTCACCGGCTCCTTCTCCTTGGAACAAACTTTCCTGCAGTGCATTCACCCAGGCACCCTCATAGTGCTCATTGTTGCTTAGTGAGTGAACATCTCCCAACTGATCCTTTAATTATCTTCACCTGTCTCCAGGTTGGGAGACACTCTCCCTATACTTAGTCAGAGGAGGGCGGGGCCTGAATTCAGCTTAACACTAATATTATATCACTGCTGGATCCTACTGAATACTGAAAGAGGTTTCTGCAGAAACTTTTGAAAAGATTTCTGATCTGTACCATCCTCTTTACTGTGTGGAATTTCAGACTTTGCGATTCATTGCCCTTGTTTTCCTCTGGTTTGGTTGTTTTAAAACTTGTAAATTATTGCCATAGATGTTTATTGCCAGCAATTCTACTTTAGAATTACACTTCTTAATGTTGCTGCACGTTACTGTAGTTCTGCTAACTTAGCTCTGATGCTTAGAAATGTACAAAACAGGAAATAAAATTACATGTAGGATTTTACATTACAGGTTATAAAAATGACATTTGACCAAATTCTGCTCTTGAGAAATTGTTCTTATGTTTTCATTTAAATTATTGTACAATGCAAAAAAAACAAAAACAAAAAAAAACAAAACAAAAAAACTGCTCTCAGTTGCTAACGAATTAGGTTTTAAAGTTTTTGTTATATAATAAATAAGATCAATATCCACACATCTGTTTCTTAGATTGGTGTTATTCCCACCTAGAATAGAGAGTTGTTTCAGTAAGCATCGAGTCTCAGTGATTTCTAAAGCTGCCTCACTCTCTCATTGTTTTGTTCAGAAAATTAAAATTACTTGTCATGGTCCAGGATCTGACTCAAGTCTGTGAAAATACATGATGTAAAATCTTGTAAGGGTGCAATAATTATAACCAGTAATTCATATGATGCTTTTGATGAGTGGATACAGCCTAAGGTTAATTCTAATTGAAGGAACAGAGAAGTATTTGTAGGCACTGTTTTTAGTTTGGTTATATACTATGAATATTTTTTACATTACAATTTCCAATGCTGATGTATTTTATTGAGAATTTTATATGTTAGAACAACAAAGATTTGTGCATAATTGTGAAGAAAAAGCAATATGATTGCAATCAACAGCCTTTCAGACGACGTGTTATTAGTAAATAAATGCCACCCCACCTTTTTCTATTTATTCAAAGGATACATTCTTCTGTAAATCACCAAGAGGTACGTCAGATAACATTATTGTGCAAACAACATAAAAAACAAGGGCCACACATAAGGTTGGAACAACTTAAGCTCTGGATATGTTACAAACTGCAAACCTATGATACACTGAGGAGCACCG